GCTAGGATCTTTGTAGTGCGTGAAGCAAGATTCTTAGTATTCTCCTTCTCTGTTTCGCTTGTCTGCATATATCACAGAAAGCTAGGGTTTTCGGGCCTTTTATTCTTAAGATCTTCTGCTATACAAGCTTCAAAATTGCGCGGAAATGAATATGGGATAGGTGTCATTACTATTCTTCTATAGTTGCTGATGGTATAGCAGTTTGACTGTTCTTTTGATCATTGATTTGATTATTCTTGTGATCATTTTTTTGATCATTCTTTTGATCATTCTTTTGATCATTTTGTTGATCATTTCATTGATTATTCTATTGATTATTCTGTTGATTATTCTGTTGATTATTCTGTGTGGAGTTCTTCATGCGCTGATTTGACATCACTGCGCAAGCAATTGGTCGGATCTTGTATAAATCTGAATACTTCTCTGCATAGGCATCAAGAGAAGCTTCTGTAGGTGATTTAATAAGGAAATACTTTTCATTTATATCACTAATTAGAGATATATCAAAATTCTGCTTATTTAACTGTCTGGAAGATAGCAAATTTGGTTGTATAGTTGGTGCATATTGAACATCAGGGATCTCTGTACCGTAGATAGATACTGACCCAATTCCTAGGATCTCATGTGGATGGCCACCGGCATCATCAATTAAGGCATGGAAAGGCTTAAAATTAATAAATAGATCATGTCTGTTTGCTACATGAAAGTCTGTAGCAGTATCTAGAAGCTATTAAGGGACTTTAGGCTGCGTGATCATGATTGAGTTGGCTTGTGCTTGGTTGCCTTGTAGGACTAATTCCGTGCTGGTTGATTAATCCTTATCATCGCTAGGTACAGCAGTTTGAGGATTCCTGTTGCGATTCCATCCTTTCGTTCCACCCTTTCGTTCGCTGTCGCTCCCGTTCCTTTCTGCCTACCTTGCTGTACCGCCCCCTTCACCGCTTTGTATGTAGAACTTAGCAACATCCTGCTCCTGCAGCTTGAAGAAATCGATCAATCCACACCATAATCAGAAGCACCCAACAATTCCTTAAGCATTTTGGTGCTTTTTCTGGATGCAGCTTCCAACAATTGTTAGGGGTATGAAATCCTTGACTACATGCTTGATATAATGTCTTTATATGGGTCAGCTTTTGATTATCACGCTTGCTTTTGTCTCTCGGGTCAGAAGAGCTCATTCGATATTTAGTCTTAAGCTTGAATTCTTGAGGGTTCTGGAGGACATATTTATTAGAGCTTGATGATGCTTGTATAACTAGCTAATCTGTAAGAGTTGCTATGTCCAGATTCTTCATCAGTCCTCTGCTGCAGGTGTAGAACTTATCTAACTGATTATAAACAAAATTCTGCTGCCATTGACCTAAGGAACAGATAAATATATCATGAATCATATTATCAAAAGATAGATTTATTCAGTGAAGCTTTACTGCAATGCGCTGAAAATCACAGATTATTGCTGGATAGTTACCTTAGGAATTGATATCTAATAAGGCTTTGACTGTTATAGGTCTCTTCTCTGCTGCAGATAGGCTATATGTTAATATGATTCTAGTCCATAGATCTGCTGCAATGGTGGAATCTTCTCAACTGATTGTTTCTTGTATATGGGATATAATTGTCTATAGAATTATTATATATAGGATCTCATTCTTTATTTATCAATGGGCAATTTTAATCTCATTATTGTTAGGCAGCTCAGTTTGACCAAGAACTTCTTTTGCCTTAATCATATATATATATATTAAAATAGAATTATGCTATATAGTGTAATTCGCTCGGCTATTAAGAATAGCTGGTTTTCGTGTTCTGAACTTAGACTTGGCTAATCATTAAATATATTCCTGCTCATGATATGCAAGATCTAACTGATAAATCACTGTATTTTATATATAGGAAGTATATTGACTTATTTTATTATATATAGACATGTCTTGCTGTGATTCTGCATATATTTTATATCTTATTTCTTCGTGTAATTGTTATGCCATTTCCTTATATAATTAGCAGAGCAATTCAGTACATATGTCCTCCATTATATCAGTCTGATAGTCTAAAGGATTCTTATCGGTTAAATTATTCAATATCTGATCTGTGGATATAGATGTCTCCGGTGCGTATGATTGATTATATATTATTATTTAAAAAGATACTTGACTTGATTTAGCGTCTCTTAAGGCTTTTGGCAGTATTCTATCTAAAGATACCTTCTGCGTGGTCCAGATTCAGGGATAAAACCACGATTTTGATGCAACCCCCCATATATTGGTATAGGGATGCGAAATATCGGTATAGCACGTTTCTCAGAGCATCAGGAATCAATTCTGCATATCTTTAACTAGCGAGAAGCCGTTTTTCTTGAGCAATAAGGGGTCATAACCTGTGGAAGCGAATGCATGCCTATTCTATTGGATGGCCGGAACGGCCAAACTATCTAAATAACTAGCTTACTAAATGATGACTAAGCGAGGTCTAACTATCAACCACCCATACCCCCACACGTGACCGCCAAGACCATTATTAAGCAGGTTTGTCCCGCGCGAGGTCATTAAAGACCAATACTTACACCTGAAATTCAATTTCTGTTTTTATTCTTCCACCTTAGAAGAGTATCTGAGTACTAAGCAGTTAAAAATCAGTTACTAGGTACTTACAATAATATCGATGCTCTGGACTCTCAGGATCTTTCAATCGACAATGATGATTAGTAAATCTCAAAAAGCAAGAAGAAGAAATCCGCCTGCAACAGCTTCAAAATGAGAAGTTAGAACTGGATCTTATGGAGAGAAGGGTACAATGTCAAGACAACCACTGCTGATCTTGTACAGATAGTATTAATTAGTTGGTAAGTGGTTTGAAAGAAACGGTGCGGGATAAAAATGTGTAAAGTTCAGTCGTCATTACATAGCCGGCTTGGCGCTTATGTAATCGATTTTGTCCCGCATGAGGAAAAAGTTGACCTCAGCTCATCTGCAACCACGCGGCGCAGGACGACCGTATGTTCCAACAATCTATACGAGGCACGTGATCGCCTAGCGGCTTGGCCGGATCTCCTACTCTTGAGCCCCTGAAGGCTTTACCCATTAGTAGAAGAGAAGAAGTAGTCAAGATAGTTGATATAGTCGTCCATAGAATTGAGCATCTATCCGAATGGCATCCGGTCCTCAGTAGGCTACGTACGTGTAGCTGATACAGCCTCATCCTGCCCATCTTTCCCCTGAGATCACAACAACAATAATAATAATATGTATCAAAGATCAGTTTAACTAAGTCAGGTAAAGAAGCTGAATAATTAGTTACTTAGTAATCAGTTGGTTATGTGGAAAGAAAGATTTGTTTGGCGTGGCAATTGAGTTTTCGCCAAGGTTTCCGGTAAAAAATCCATTTTGGCCAATTGCTCGATTCAGTCCGCCGTACTTCCATTTAGGTAAGGCAATCCAGAGCGACTGGCTAGGAATGCAAATCGTATAAGAGAACAGGTGTCAATGTAGGCGCTAAACCTGCATGCTTTCTCTTATGGCTCTTTCGGACCGGCTATTCCCTTTTCTCTGCCTCATATCTCTAGGATTCTTGCCCCTCCGCTTGTTGCAGACATCGTAGTTTGGCTATTCAACATCTTTCGCGGGCCACCCAGCCTAGTTGTATCAGGGAGTCATACTCTAAAATATTACCCATGCAGCCTGAAATGCATAGGACATGAACTTATGCGAGCTGGGAGGTAGCTAATTCACAGTATGAGGGGTAAGTTTAATCCCTAACCATCCGATAGGTCAGACAAGGCTCTGTAAAGCGCTCTCCAATGTTGTTCAGCCAGCCGTTGATAAATGCCGTGGACTAAACACGCTGATGGCTGGCTCGTGATGTCTCAGTCAGACGTTCGAGCACCTCTGTCAAAGACCTACTATTGCTAGATTCTAGATCATCGGCCCTTTAAGGCCCCGCGAGATTGATTACAGCGTGCCAGTAAAATTAATAGTCTTGGTAACGATATGTTTTGTTTGTTAGACAGCTGTGACCTACATTCGGAGATTTTACGCATGGCGTACTATTAATCAAGAACTCTAGGGAATATACAATAGCTGCAGCACCGATATTCACTGTCTGACCAGAGCTGGTTTATGTTCGCTTGCAGGCAGGGCTCGGAATCAGCTACCGCTAGTGGATAGCTAATTTAGGACCAAGTAATTCTCTCTTGGGCTACCCTTACCCGCGTCAGGCATCAAAGCAGCCCTGCGATAGAGTTGGACTTAACGAAAGAGTGTCAGAGAACCTTAGATCTACATTTATATTTTTCGAAGTTACAATCCAAGAGCACAACCCTGGTTTCTAGAGGTCCATCAGACGTGCACGGTATGTTCTTACTCGGCCAGTAGAAAAAGCACGTCGGTTAGAGTTAGTGTATAAGTCCCCGAGCAGTTCTAAATCTGAGATCTACCATTGTATCTCTGGAGAGTGAGCTCAACTACTGCACTAGCCATGCTGTTGGTGTAACGGCTCAGGCCAATGTAGATAGATTGATCTTATTGGGTAGCTCTAATACGAGAGAATTGCTTGAAGAAGAGAATATCCCACGAGCGAAGCTCTGAGATATTGTCTATCTTGAATACAAACAGAACAAACAAGAATCATGCACTACTTGCTGATATTCACTATGAACTCAGCAGCCTGTATAGTGACTGCGCTGTCACAGTTGGTGCCTCCTTGAAGGATGTATGAGCTCTACCCACTCGGGTAGTATTTGCATTATATTGTTTCTATCAAGGAAATAATATTGCAAGCTCTACTTCCAAATCTATTAAGAGTAAAGGACCAGCAATCTCTGCCCCTACGTTATAATAGGTTCACCAATCCATATTCTTTAAGAACAGCCTCTGCATTCGCATTCTAGATTGGGGAAAACCTAGGTAGTAAGGATACAAAAACCCAACCAAGGCATGTCAGAAATCAATAATACCGCAGGCACTAAGTGATGAACCATATATCTTTCCATAAGTCACCTAGCATTAGTGACATCCCTGCTGCTGGTGGAGGACTTCAGGCCAGGGTGAAGCTACAGCACTTGACGCACAGCCCCACTTGCAGTCACTGCATTCATCCTGTGCATCGCAGCATGCCGCAAACTCAAACATCGAGTTCTGGATGCTGCCAGCATGACACTAGAAATCTGTCAGCGCTAATAGTGATAAAAGGACTCCTGCATAAGGAACACCTTCGACTGTAAGGGTATTCTGCTTGTCAAGTACACTTACATCAGAGCCAGTCCAATCCCCACCAAGAATCTTGCAGCATAATCTTGAACTTTGGTAGTCTATGTCCCTACCCCCCCAGCACTTGCAAGCCTGCACCACGGCTAGGCTATCATAGCCTTCAGTACATATTGTGATTATGGATAGTTAGTGACTTACTTTGTTGCTAGAGCTATGGCAGCTGCAGTAAACTTCATGTTGGACTCTTGGTAGTGCCAATATGCGGATCTGGGACGGTTGAGATAGACTGTACTAGTGGATTGAGGAGGGAATTCTTGGAATGTCTGGACTTTGTTTAACGTGGGAAGATGGAGACCTTTATATCCTTACATCCGTCTACCTTCAAATGTTGATGGCTAGTATTAGAAGCTATCGTCCTAATTGATAGCAGGTAAGCCCACTTCGTCGAGTGGATGAAGCTGAGCGCAACAAGGTCAATGCTGAACTAATTAGACGCAGAGTAGTGGCGTTGTTGACTATAGCTGAGTATCGTTGTGGCCCTACGGAGATGGAAGTAGGTGAGCCAGTATTTACTCTCAGCAAGATATTCCACCTGACCCGACCCTGCAAGCCACATATGCATGTCATCAACCATTGGAAGTGGCACCTGCCATGCAAATCAAAATAGGCTAGACCTCATATTCAGCTTGTCGAACTTAAAAGAGTGGCTAGCTGAATGGTCAATGACTGTCAGAGCTAGGGTTCGCATTCTGGAAGGTAGAGTAAGATGCATTGTGCCCATAGTACTCCACAGCCACGGCTACGTCCGTCATATCTTCGAAGTTTATGGATGATTGTTCAGACGATGTCCGCCTGAAGTCTGCCACGGTTCGAACCAACTTTCCAATGATGATCCATTCCCCGCCGACGTATTCTGATAGTGCCTGTGTCTCGACAAACTGTCCATAGCGAACTTAATGCTTTAATTAAAAGAAAAGTAATTCTAAAGTTATATACTATGACAATTGAACGAAGCCTGCTTATAATAACAGACTATCTATTATATTCTTTTCTTGCCAACATTACTCACCTTCCATAACCTGAACACACTAACCACTAAATTCAGTATCTCAGGGCTCCTTTTATTAACAAATTATAATTATTAGTCAATAACTTAATTGGAGACTAATCCTACCTCCGAAGTAAGTCCAACCAACGCCACATCGTCCATACAATCCTTCCCAGCCGACACCTACATGAACAGTCCCATTGTAAAGAACACAAGACTATTATTTGCAGCCGAGAGACGAAGCGTGTGTCCCGAAGAGTAGCATCAATCCTATGGCAGTATCGATAAAGGGTGCGAAAATCGCCATGATTGAGCCGTCGTCCGCCGAATGATATTCCTGGAACGCATACCTTTCCCGGGTATATTTGCCATGCGCGAATTGGGAGAAGGCACCGGGAAGACGACAACCGAGAGGAGGTATATGTGTAGGGACCAAAGTGAGGACGACATTGGTGTAATTTTGAAAGTGTAAGATGTAGAAATTCTTATCGAGTGTGACTTGGCCTGTACAAGTGAATTGCTATCAAAAGGTTCCCATGTTCCTCCCACGAGAGGCTTGTGACGAATTCACTGGTGTGTGCGCTGTTTGTGTGGTTGCAGATGACGAGGCCTCGTTTTTTCGGTCATGCTCCACATTCCTGCTGACTAACTGGGTTGGCGGTCATGTGACCTTTAAATCCCACAAACCACTGTTGTACAAGTTTCATGGTACGCCACTAATTTCAACCTCTTTACAATACAACTCAGCTAGTCACCATGGCCTCCCTTGCTAAAAACGTGAGTTCTTGATTGATTCTGAAACAATAAACAGTCGATTAGTATCCAGGAATCTAATTAATTGATACAGAAGTGGTATGTCTAGTATTTACGTGAGGTAGCTAATGGCCGCCTGGAGCTGCCTCCTTACAAAGAGGCAAGTCTTAGTTATTCTACTCGGCTAACTTTTCAGCTGCTTGCTAACCACTTACTAACTGCTTAGAATAAGGACAGCTCCATCAAAATCTATTATAGGGAGCTTTTCTGTCGCGTTCCGGACTGTTTAAAAGCCCAGGTAAGAATTTATAAACTGGTTATAGAGTACTTGCTAACCGCTTATCGCTCACTTAAAAAAGTATACTACAACTAACAATTATCTAGAGGAGTTCCGACTCCTGATTTGCCACCGAAATATTATTATTAATTATTAATCATGTTTAACGTCTATATCGAGCCGTCAGCTATGACAGACACATGTGCTTAGCAGTGGCCTAAGCCACTGCCTCTAAATGGTCCCTAGGGGCTCAATCAGCCCCCTCCATCATTTGTATGCTCATTCTAATCCTTTTCCTCGCCCGAGCCGCATATCTGCGCTAGAGCCTTTGGGCTATGCCCTTCTCGGTGTTCATTATTTGCTGGGCATCATCTAGGCATGCCTAGATTGCCCTTTCTACTATCCTTCTCCTCTACTTTCTACTTCTTCTACCAGCTCTAGGCCCCAAAGGCCATCCCTAGAGGATCTATCCATCTGTCTGCTTCCCCTGGGAAGCAGCTAATATTTGTTGTTGCAAGGAAGGTCAATATGGCCTTTGTGGCCCTCTGATCCGCAAAGAGATGTCATTCTGGGGCTATTTCTTCCTATCCGGGTTGGTGATACTCCTGCCCTGACTAGGGCCCTGTACAGAGCTTGTCTCTGGTGGCACCATTGTCTGCATTCCTGTCAAGGGGTATCCGGTACAGTCATCATGTCGAATCACTATTCGATCTGTGACAATTCAACTAGTAGGTGGCCTATTGTTCCCTGTGGTGCCTGGCAGCTCTGGCATCTAGGTGAGTCTCTGATCCCTATCTGATTCAGGTAGGTTGGTATTGCTGCGTATCCAGCCTTGAGCTAATAGTATCGACGAGCAAGCTGTTTTGGTGCTTCTCTTGCTATTTGATCTAGTTTCCATCCTTTCTGGGGACGATACTGTTGTTGGGTCCTGTAGGATCGTTTCTCTAGGGCCTGTATAAGCTATTGCTGTCTCTGGGCCTGGTTTGCCTATGTGCATGTTCTGCGTAGATATGCTAAACTGAGGCTCCTGTCTATATCTCTGAGGGCCTTTTCTGCAGCTATCTTAGCAGTATAGTCAGCCTTCTCATTATCTAGGACCCATTGAATAGTGATTTGGCATCCTTGATTCTGAAGCTTTGGTCTGTATTTTGGGCCTGAATTGTCTAGTTTTGCCCTGGGCCGGTTCTATTGTCTCGCAGCCGGGTTATAGCTGCCTGAGAATCTAATAGGACCCTAATAGAGGCATTGTGTCCCAGCTGCTCAGTTATTTCAAGTGCTTTACAAGCACCTGATAGCTCTGCATCAAACACCTCTTTCCCCTGCCCTAGCGGCACCTGCCTAGTCTTCCACGTGCCTGAGGGCTCTAACCATGCAATGCCTGCACCGGTCCGTCCATTCTCTAGGTGTGATCCATTTGACCACATTGTTAGACCTTCATAGGGGGCTATTGCCTGCTTGAGGGCTTCTTCCTCTGGAGGCACTAGTGTAGTGCCTGAAAGAGGGAAGTGCCTTAGGAAAATCCTCTACTATTTTTCAAATCCTGCTGAGGGATCTATCATTAAGACACTAGCCATCCTGGCTGCTAGATACTGGCCTAGGGGCCATGTGCCTGGTGCCTTAGGGCATTCTGCCCACATTCGGTTGTCTATAGGCTGTTCTCCAGGCTGTGATCTAACAGCACTTTTCTGTAGTTGTCTTACACAGGAGCTTTTATTTTACATTCCTTCCATTTCCCATATATCCCTTTTTCCGCGGCATTCATCTACCTTGGAATCCTGCATCCCGACTTGTATCTCCTAGTTGTTTTCCCCTCCCTTTTAACTTTTTCCAATGGGATGACCTGTCTAATTTATTACTCTACGCGATGGGGCTGCCATCTTAAGCGCGTCTACGGGGCATTTTCAATACATAGTATTAGTTAGAATTAGACTCGCTTCTTTACATAATAATCTCCTATACTACTTTTAATCCAACTAAGTTAAGGTCAATACTACTCTCTCTATATATATATATTCATATTTCTCCGATCAATCTAGGGACCCTATCTCGATAGACCTCTTTGTCTTCAACGAGACGTGTTGTATCTGGATCTGTACCAGTTGTCATTACGCGGTCACACCACAGCATCTGGACCGTCATCTTCGCACTTATCATCGATGGCATTCATCAGCCAGAACCGCAGAGCTTTGCCGGGCAATGTGGTCGAGATGCTTAGAAAACGAAAGCCCTGGATTGAACCCCGGAAAGAACCCTGTCGGTTTCCCCCGTGAGACAGCCCCCGAATAGCGCATCTCCCGGTATATTCAGGGTTACGCTACTCCCTCTGTCCGTAGTTTGGCCGGTTCTAGACCCTAGTGCGTGGTGCACCGAGGGCTAGCTGTATTTCCCTTTCTCAAGCCTCCCCATGTTTCTTTATTTATATATACCCCTTCTCCTCTCTTTTCCGTCGTGTTAACGCAATGGATCACGAGTAAGATACGGTGAAATAAGGTTCCGTGTCGTGAACCGGTGGGGCTTTACCTTGTCCATATGTATCCTGCATTGAGATATGCCAACACTATTGCTGACTTCAGACAAATAAAATCAATACCTAAAACAACAGGCACCGGAGATGAAATGAGTTTATTGGCAGGTTCAGAGAAGTTTCGACGGCTACGAGAGCCGGAGCCCGAAGAATGGGGTGATGCTTCAAAGGCTAATAATAAGCAGCATTATTCAGAGTTGAACAAATTGTACAAAAAAACTAACTCACCTCAAATGACAATGGGGAAACCAGAATGTAGAGAGTTCATACGGCACTATCCAGAAATAAACCTGTACAACGACAGGAGATATAGTGTCGCAAGTGCCATGAATCTGAGTAGTCTTACTAAGCCTTGTTTTACCAGCTTCAAGAGTTCGAAAATTAATTGAACGCTCAAAATGATCAAAAAGCTCACTGTAAGTATTGATGTATGAATGTAGCATCCTTGGTTTGAGAAAGTGCAGTAGTGTAGTTGAAAAAGGGATATTTTTAGCAGAGAAGATAGCCGATTTGGCGCTGTTCCTCAGTACTTAACCTAAACTGGTTGTGTGAATTACCCAAGAAAAACAAGGAGGTATCTCTAGGGTAAGGAAAGCTTTTGATGCTGAGCTAGCAGAGATAGAGACATATAAAGCACTCAAAATAGTCAATCAGGGCCCAGGGCAGATATGGGCCATTCAAGTGAGAACCAGCAGAGCGACAATGCTATGTAGCGACTATTATATTACTGGCTAAGTCCTGTCTACAACTCCTTATTGAAAAAAAGTGAACGAAGCCCTGACTCCACTCATATTCTGAAACTCTTCTTCAGCGTAGTCAATGGTTGCACTGACTCTTGCTGTTTTGTCCGTCGATTCTGACCCAATAAAGCCGTCTGTATAGGTCTGAAATCCAAGTATATTGCATAAGCCATGGACTTGCAGTATTGGCTATAAATCAGTTAGAAAGTCAGTTAGCAGGGATAGGATACTTTATCCGGGACTGGCTTGTCAGAACTTGTATGGAAACAGCTTTCCATTATAAAACAATCAGCTATAGGGATAGATATTATTAAGATCTTTAGATATAATTGCTTGACTGCTTTCCTTGATATTCCTCTCGTCCGGTTGCAGGTTGAAATGGCAATGAAGAACAGTAACACTGAAGATTTTCTTAATATTATGCTTAAGAAAGTAGTCTCGGATTAAAGTATTGATAACTTTCTGTATATTAGATAAATCAAAAGTCTTTTTAGCAGATCTGAGTGACAGTTATATAGCAATATGGTATATATAATAATTATAGAGAGCTTCAATAACTGTCTCAACCATCTTTACTGCGTCCTATTGCAATTCTGCTATAGAAGCCTGAAGCGTATCCAATTAGTAAATGGCCACCCAGTATAAGGAGTAACAATATGTACTTGCAGATATTTCTTGTACTCAAGGTAGTTTTAGATTGTACACGAACACTTTTAAGGAAAGCTAACGGGGATAGAGTCTCAAGTCAAGTCTTAGATAGCCAGGGAATTCTATACTGTAGCCTTTGTTGAGTAAGAATTGGACACTCCATACTTTAACAGGGCTAGACTTGTTAGGCCCAGCCCACAAAAACCGGCCCAACCCGGCCCAACCCGCGGGCCTAACAAGTCTAAACAGGGCATATGTATCTATTATGTAAGGTTGACTCCTCTCCAGCTAGTTATAGTAAATATTAAGGAATAGATTAATGGCTTGTGTAATATTGTATAGGGGTTGCTTGCATTATAATAACAAGTACTTAGCTAGTTGCGGTAAATATATTAGAAGTGGAGCCCTAAAACTGTGTATTATTAAAATATATCCTTGGTAATGCCACCATGTTTCAGCTGCTTATAGTAGGTAATGTATAATAGATTGTAAGACCAAGTGATGTCATAGAAGACTGCTATTAGTCCACGAAAAAACAGAATATAAATTGAGATATTGTAGATGCATATAATGATTAATAATTTGTTGGGTGCTTCTGATTATGGTGTGGAATGATTGATTTCTTTAAGCTGCAGGAGCAGGATGCTGCTAAGTTCTACATACAAAGCGGTGAAAGGGGCGGTACAGCAAGGTAGGCAGAAAGGAACGGGAGCGACAGCGAACGGAACGCAACAGTTAATTCTAATCTAACTGTCGGTCTTTTAGAGATAAGATAGATATAAGGTTTGAATCAATGATAAGATTAGATTAAAAGATATAAATAGTAAAATAGAGAGTAGAGTAAGAAAGGAAGATATTGATAATAGATTGTTGTGATCTCAGTTGAAAGATGGGCAGAATGATGCTGTATCAGCTACACATACGTAGCCTATGGACGACTATATCAACTATCTTGAGCGCTTCTTATTCTCTACTAATGGGTGAAGCCTTCAGGGGCAGAAGAGTTGGTGATCCGGCCAAGCCGCTAAAGCGATCACGTGTCTCGTATAGATTCATATCAGTAATAACTCAAGAGCAACTTATTTTCTAGTCCTAATTAATACACGTGATGGGCCTGAACCTTCCGGTTGTGGTTTTATGTTTAACCAGGCCGCCTTGGCTATTGTACAGAGTACTATGTTAGGTTCACGACTGCGCCGCTCTCATGAGCTTATGATTGATAGTGCGAATGACATAAGATATTAAGTTATTTCTCTCCTATTCTTTGGTGGTAAAATAGCGTTTTCGCTTCGCGCGTTTTCAACGCCCCCAGCTGATAAGCATCTGACGAGCTCTTGATTTGAGCTTGGGTTGGGCGGTTCAACATAATACAACGGAGTGTGACTTGATTGAGTTGATGTAGATCTGGGTCCATATGATTACTAAGGCATTGGAGGAGCATCATGGGCTCCAGTAGAGAACCCCTTATTATCAAACTACCAGAAACCAGACCTATTGCTGACATTCTAACTAATCATACAGAAATAGCAGTGATATATTGCTGGGACTTTTGCTTCCAGGGCCCCGCCTGTTAAATTATTGGTGGAGAAAGAATCAGCGTGTTAAGCCTACCCTACCCCATGACACCAAGGGCAAGCAAACCTGCAGCAATTACAACCATTTCTAAATAGCACCACCCTCGCGCTGATACTGATACTTTTAGATCACTCTCTATGACATATTCTTGGACGTTAATCTTCTGCCTGTTGTTGTCCATCAGATTCACTGAATCTACAGAGCTCTATAGCCATTGATGATTTGGGCATCTTGAACCATGAACAGGGGAAAAGTGAAAAGAAAAAAGAAAAAAAATATCCCCAGATAATAGTTGCAATAATAGATTGAAGTGTTTTATCAATACTTGAGTGCTTTGTTAAATAGATAAAAATAACTAGCTCACATCTATACAAGGTTGTATATGCTGCGGCATTGAATTAATGAGGACCCCAGCATAATCAAATGCGTATATTTAATTGGACTGTTATGCATGTTCTGGATCCAAGGTAACATAAACTTGTAATCTTTAGTACTTAGCTGTTTGACCATGCTGTGAAAGCCATACTCATCCATTCTTCCACTTTAGCACAACCCACTCCCCATTCATCTCCCCCACCTCGGGCCCTAGATCATGGTATACGCGGGCTTGTAGCTTTAACAATCACTGAATTCCCAACCTTTCTGATCCTTGGCTTGTCGTACCGCTCGCAGACAGTTTTCTTGTCTCCCAATGTCTTGTTGAAGGCACCGAAAAACTTTACGCGAGAAAGTAGGTAGCTGGTTGCTGATGGATTTGTCGGCGTTGTTGAATCTTAGGGCAATTCAAGCTGCTGATGTTCCCGTGCTGCTTAACATGTTTAATAATTTCTTAGTAAGGATGAGGATAAATCCTCGCAAGCAGCGGCAGTGGTCACTGGTAATTGGTAGACTATTTGGAAGAAGTAAGTACTTCTGTACTAGGTTCGGGCTGGGGGGTGATTTTTTTCTTTTTTGTTTATTTCTTAAAGAAAAAAAAAAGAAAAAACACCCTGTCTCTTGCATGTTCTGACTGTCACAATCTTTGACACACCTCCGGTTTTTTAAAAGATGTCCTTTATTAGCCTCTGTAATTTTAACCCTCGATGACACCACTCAGTGCTGCAGCACTCACTACTATCACAGCCTGATTACCAGGTTACATCGCTGGAAAAGAGCTATCCACAACCCCCACCCTGTGATGAGGCCTGCTGCTGCTTTTATCTCCAATCCCTGCTTAAGCACCATGCCAAGATGACCATCACCCTACCTCCACAGGGTTCTTAACCATGATTGGCCTCCTCTTACACCAAGTTGACTGCGCCGCAGTCTCTAGACTTTACTTCATGTGGTGTCCACATGTGCCTGGTGCCAGCCTGGACTGAATATAGTAAATTCACTAACTGTTGTCTTGAATTTCTCTCTGTCTGTATGGGGCCTCAGCCTTCTCTATCCGGTAGGATAATTAATACTCTGCTTATTGTGTTGCTTGCAAACCATTGTGATCACTAAAATCAGTGCACTATCTGGCTTATCTCCTGGCGGAGCCTTCAAATTTCTCCCAGTAAACAAGACACAAGGAGGGTACTGAACCTGACTTCCCTTTTTCCACTATTTATTCCTATAATGTCTGTCCCCTCTACCTGTTAAGCTATTATCTTATAGAAAACTCTATTTTAGCTATGAGAAGGTTGTGTAAACTACCTAATAAGCATAACTAGAAATAAGGTATTATGTAGGGCCTGGTAAGCATAGTTTAAAGGAGAGCGCACAGATAATAATCAGGTTTCTAATAGCAGAAGGGCTGGAAACTCATAGCTTAACTAAAGGCACCTCTAATAGCATTCTATGTTTCTAATTCCACTGAGGTGGCGTAGCCTGTTATCTAACAGAGCTGATGGATTCCTTAATTAGAAGGAGATAGAATAGCTAGATTTGTACATCAGCATCGTTTTCAAAGCAAGATGTGCTGCAAATTTCTGTAAGCGCCTGTTTAGTTTAGGTACTGGGGAGGGTGGGAAATCAAAGTGATATTACTCGATAGTACAGAAGACAGAAGACGTCCTTCCCGGGGTGATAAAGCCTATAAATACCAAAATAATGGCATGATTCAACAAGGTATTTAATTATCACTTGTTTGACAGGGTTCAGACTCGCCACGACACCCTGTAAAGAACCCCTCACCTGCGGGGATTTCTTGCCTCGCATGTATTTGATCTCATATTTCGAGTCCCCGATTCTCGCGGGACTAGACTGCCTCCCGAGCTTAATCCAGCCAACAAGTGAAAAAGATGTTTGGCACAATCCGATACGACAAGAACACTGATAGTCGTGAGCATGTGGAGCTCCAAAGAGCAGATGGCATTGAGGCCAGAGGTTATACCCCGATTGCCTGTGACCGCTGTCGTTCGCGAAAGGTCAGTGAATCCACATCACCCTCCTTCTACCACTACAATCTACATCCACCCTGGGCAATGAGCAATTCTATAATTCTTCGCCGCAGCAGAATGCCTGCTGACATGTCTCCAGCTGAAATGCAGCGGCGACAAAGGTGGCTGTGGAAGATGCCGGACTGCCTCGGTCGCCTGCACCTATCGAGATGTCTTGTCGATCAAGGACAGCAGGAGAATGTCCAAACGGGTGTGCACTTCGAACAACCAGTTGCCAACTCCGAGCCCACGTCACACTTCCAGCCGCAGCCAACCACAGCCCTTGAGCACAGAGGTGGACCAAGAGCGTCCTCAAAGTACGTCAGACTCTGAGCCGTTAAATTGGCTATCCTCCTCCTCCTCCGAGGCATTTACTGAATCGCCCAACACGTGGGTGAGCTCGTTCTTGCCAATGCAACCTACGTTCTCTGCAATGATAGATGATCATGCAACTCGCGGACATGATATATCATGTGGGCTGTCTGGGGTTCCGGAAAGCAATGATCCCTCGTCGACAGACGTGGAGAATATCTTTGACGCAGTCCTCGATACGGAGACAACCTACCACCACACAAACGTCCCGCCTCAGCCAGCCCGGCTTAACCAAAATACTCAAGAGAGACGGGCAGGACGGGCCTCGCTACCAGGAGATAATCTGCCATCCGCTGTTGGCACTGACCAGGGAATTTCCTCAAAATGTGAATGCCTCAGCGACGTGGCTCGGTTCCTGGACGACATTGGCGTAGAATCGACAGAGGCGAGAGCTGACATGCTCCTAGTGTGCGTGAGTCGAGGGATGCGGATCTGTGGGGAGGCGCTTCGTTGTTCGGACTGTAGTGTCCGTGGGGACAATGGCATGTTTCTCGCTGTTGTCTTACAACAGCTCGTGACCCTGACGCGTACCGCGTCAGACAAACTTCTGGCTTGGACATGCGAAAATAGGAACTGTCAGGGATCCGCTGCCGACATCCACAGTCCCACCATTTGGCTCGACCAGTACAGAATCGAAATGCCGGATCTTAAGGTCCCGCTTATTCGCCACGTCGCCTTGTTGCACTTGTTCAGTTTGCGAGATCTATCGAACGGCATCAAGGATAAAGTTAGGCCAAACAGTCTGGCGGGGCACCTAATTACGGATTGCGAAAGCAATATTGTTGATGCCCTCCAGATGGTTCAAGACAAGGCATCAAATGCGATGCCTATGGCTTCTGCGTTTTAGATGGGAAAGAAGTACAGAGCGGAAAGATATATGCTCACTTGACACTGGCGTCCGCGCAGTTAGAGCGATGCCCATCATGAATAGAGCAGTATATAGAAGATACCAAACATGAGATCCCAAACTAATTCATTGTTTGTTGTATAAAATGGCGCAAGGAATAGAGAAGTACATCTTCACCATACAAGAACCGGAAGGGGGCTCGGGACATTGGCAACTCTTCGATAATTTGATTCTCAGGTTCGCATACCTCTATTCTGGAGCTCTGCTATAAACCGTCGCTTATGCTCAATGTAATTTTTATTCGGACGAGCAAGACTGCCAGTGGGATACAGTGCTGTTAGTGGCACGTCGCGAACAGCAATCTCCGGAGCCGCTTTTGTGCCAACCATCTGCGTCTCAACAATACTGCCACCACCCCATTGTGGCTCCTGAAGGACCCGCAAGATGACTGCAGCGCATTCAAAGGCAGATAACGATACGTCATCCACTGTCAACTTTCTATTCCACTCGGGCTCGAACATAGGGGTCTATGATTACGCGGTTAGTGATCGCTGTGGCCGAAAAAAAAAAAAAGGCTGATTCGAAGGGAAAGTCGCATACAAACACGGCCCCGGGGCACACAGCGGAAACTCGGATCCCAAATAAGCCTTGGAGATCGCCCAAGCATCTGACAAAGCTGACAATCGCCGCTTTGCTGGCCATGTATAAGGGCGTATCGATTGCATGGAGATAGCCGGCCATACTTGCCACACACAGAAGATTACCCTTCACGCCCGGATTTTGAGTCCAGTAATCCACGGCAATCTGGGACAGTCGAATGGGCGCCGCTTGATTGATGGCAAAAATCTGGTATTGACCGGGGGCCGCGTTGATGGGATCCGCAGACTCGGGCGAGAGACCGGGAGGTTTCCAGAAGGAGCTGAATGGCGATTCATATATGCCAGCTATATTGGCGACAATATCGATCCGCCCGAATGTGTTCAGAGCGAACTCCCACAAGGCACTAAGTTGAGCCCAGTCGGCCACATCTGTTTTGTGGAATACTGCAGTCGAAGCTCCGGGTGTGACCGCAGGATGAGGGTATGTGGCAACCTTCGATGCGGCCTCTGGGCGCATTTTCAGGTCGGCCAGAATAACAGACGATCCTGCCTCGAGCAGCATGCTGGCCACTGCGTGACCAATCCCTGAGCCAGCACCAGTCACTATAGCAAATTTTCCATTCAAATTATAAGTAGACATTCTTCAGAACAACTGCAAGACTTGGGGTTGTTGTTGAGCTTCAATAATACTGGTGAACACAACGAACGGGACTTCCGCGGAGATAGATGGACTAGAGCAATGAGAACAAATAATTGAGGCATGAGGCATCATGACATTCTCCACCGCAACCTGCTGGACTAAAGATGTCTTCGTATAGCGTCAGTGGCTTCTAGGTGATGCGTCGGAGCTTCCACAAGCGGTAACCGCCGTCTGGGCCCTAACTCGAAGCCCTAACTTCGTGCAAAACAGCAACCGCCGCGTTCGTGAGACCCTTGTCTTCGGCGCAACCCCAATTGGGGTCCAACTTCAAGATCCCGACGTGGGCGTTCTTGAGGATACATACAGAGGTTCACCTTAGACCCCAAATCGAGGCGGAATGGGGCAGGGTGGGGTGGGGCGAGGTACATCCCATCTCCAAAGTTCTTCCACCAATCGACCTACTCGATCAACACAATAGCTAATTCTAGGCGCAATATACGTGCATTCGGCGAAAAACCGAAGAGCAGGGGACAATTTGCCAGAATGGAAAACGCGTGTGGCAATAATCATAGCCATACAGTGTGGAAAGTCGCCATCTAAGAAAGTCGCCCGTATTTCCAAGGTGGACCGTAAACCTGTATACAACAATTTGCAGCGTTTCAATTAAATTAACAATGTAATTTTGAATCACCTTCTCGGAGTAGCCGGCCTAAGAAATATGATAATCGCATGACATCTATAGGTTTCTTCTACTGAATATAACGAACTAATCCCATGATCGGAGCATGACTTCAGGTATGATGCACTCCCATTTGTGACGCACGAACCGAAGTATGGATGGCACGATGGAGGGAATTGGGTACGAGTATTTGGGCCGCCATTAACATTATCTCTCACGCAAAGAACTCAGATGCGCTTCACTTCTACGGCCGGGAAAGACTGCAAAAATGTAGGATTTGCCTACCTTAGGAATGAAATACACCAGGTCAGACCAAATTCTCGTTGTTCATGGACAGCTGAACGCTTCCCTTTCGGCGGCGTACTCGTAGCTTAGCATTGGCTGATGGAATGCGCAGTATCCCAATCCATCTGTCACGGGGTCTCGAATCCATAATCTCCAGGTCGTAATACATCAACGCGTAGGCCAACATTAGTTTGAGCTCACTGGCCGCAAAGAATCGTCCGGGGCAGGCTTGACGGCCGTTGCCAAAAGCAAGGTAATCGTACCCAGTAGCGGGAAACGTCAAGCGTGCTCGCTGTACATGGTCCTTGTTGGGGTCATCGCTGCTGACATCACGGCGCAGTCCAACGAAGCGGAATGGCTTGAAGGTATCTGGCTGCTCATATACATTGGGATCGTGGACAACGCCAAGGTTATGGACAGCGCAGAAGTTACCGCAAGGTAAATGGACACCGGATGTCGTGGTGAATCCCTCCTTAGCTACGACTCTGCGACGAAGCCCGACAGCAACCAAAGTGTTGAGACGGGCACTTTCGCGAAGCACCGAGTCGAGCTTCTCCATCTTACCCAATGCCAGCTTCGTCCATTGTCCTCCACATGTATCCAGAACTTGTTTGACCTCGGCTCGCAGCTCCTCAAGGACTTCAGGTGTAGACGACGCCAAATCCAGCATGACGTTCACGATGGTCAAGGAGGATGTGTGGATAGAGACCAGGTTCATCAAAAGTATACGGCCTGCAAGGGTCCTGGGCTGCCACATGCGAGGGTCACCGCTTTCCTTGGCCTGCTCTATACACCACTGTAGAAAATCATTCTTCTTTTCCGCTTCGCCAGAGGTTTCCCCGGAACACAACGAGGGGGTAGGATTGAAAATGTCGTGTAGGCGATGTTCAATCTCTGGAATTAGTATTTGAGTGAACCGGTTTTCGTAATATCGACAAGGAAGCGTGAACAATAATGATGCCAAAGGACGTAGCGGCTTCCATGTAAAACTCAGTAACAGCTGGCTGAATGGCAGTGCTCGCGCAAAGCCAATACCGACATTCAGCAGCGCCGAGTCACGACAGTATGGAAGACCAACAAAGGCGTAATTTGTTGCTCTGCTCACAATAGCACCCATACTATCCCATATTGTAACGTCACGAAATGACTCCGTGTCGGTTCCCCATTGCTGCTCAAGACCCCTAATGGTCTCATTAGCCAAGCCAGGAAGGAGATTAGCGATCTGGTTGGTTAACGTCGTCGTAATGAGCTTCGTGTGTGTTGGGTTTGAGACGATAAAATTGTCGGATATAGTGTACTCGTAGAGAAGCCCCTGTACAATAACCTCGCGCAAGCTCAGCACAGTATTGGGCTGATCCGTCACTAGCTTCGTCTCAGACGCTGGAAGTAACACAAATGTTTGACCGCCGGGTCCTGCAATAGGCAGAATTGCGGCCTGGTCCTTGTGCTTCGCATAGGCTTCCAAGATATTCCCTCGGAGATTGAGAGCGTTGCGCCATGCTGCTTGAAGAAAGGGAAACCAGTCGCTGTCTTTGGTGCCAATTATGGGTAAACCCTTGGGGAGATGTGCGACAGAGGGAAACAAGAGTTTTCGGACAATGTAAACGCAAATCAACCCCGCGGCTATCTTCGCGATGATCGCCATATTTGCGTCTGCGCTGCCGATGCAGTTTAAAGGCTGGTGACCGGGAGTATAACCGGGGAGGGAATTAAACTGGGTGTCATTCGCAAGGAATTCAAGTTGACACGGCATTACGTCCACAGAGCTGTGGATGATATCTCGGGTTCTCTCAATGTGGAAAGAGCCGAGAGCGGGCGCCATGCAAACAAAAGGAAAGGATTATTACAGATAACTGGTATGTACGTGCGCTCCGTTTTACCGAGGTAGAGAGATGAAGGCTGCCGAAAATGAGGATCCTTGCTCTCCACGGTCTCGGCTCGTCATCCTCGCTGCTGAAAGAGCAACTGGCGCCCTTCGTGAGGGCATTGGGCAAAGAGTATCAGTTCAATTTTCTAGATGGAGCAATACCTTGCGGGAGAGGCCCAGGTACGGGTTTCTATCGTTCCAGTTCCAACCAATGCTGAAGCATCCAAGGCGTCCCGGCTTGGGCCTCAGGGCCTTTCTATTCATACGCAACAGGATTCACTCCAGCTGAGATGCGTCAAGCTCTCCGCCACTTAGATGATTTTATCAAAAAGCACGGTCCTTTCGACGGCGTGTTTGGCTTCAGCTTGGGTGCTGCCCTTGCGATAACTTATATGCTGGATCAGCAACAAAAGCAGGCTTCTTCGCCATTCTGTTTTGCTGTCATGTTCTCGCCCATATTTGTTGTTTCACCTGATGATAGCTATTGTGAGCAGCTTCTGCGGCGATGGCTAGCAGATGACCATGCAGGGTTTCGGTCCAAGTTCCCCGATGGCGATTTTATGACGGAGTTGGAAGATCCGTCCGAGCGAACGCTTGCCCAGTATCTGCAGCAGGTCTTGTCCATGCAGTCAATGGGCGTTGGAATGATTTTGCCAAACACGAATGTCGATTTCCTGGGCACCAAAAAGCCCGAGGAAGTACCGCGCTTGGTACATCCAGATTTGTTTCACGCCCGGATCAAAATACCAACGGTCCATGTGAGCGGGCAGAACGACTCACCCTACATTGGAAAGCAGTCGGGAGTTGCACGAGACCTATGCACACCTTCGATTCGGCGGGTGCATAGTCACGATGGCGGCCATGACGTACCCTTTAAGATATCCGACGTGGATGCCATTGTTCCATCGATCAAGGCGATGGCCGAGGAAGGTACTCAGATACGAGACTTTTATGGGGATTGATCTCGTGCTCGCGAACGGAAACGGGGCGGAAATTATATGTCATGGAAATGGCTATCTTCAAGTTGGACATTGCCCTCGTTGAACTTCCATTATCTGAGACATGTTTTCAATTTCGCAAGCTCAAGGATGTATTATGATATATACTGCCACTTCTCTCCTTCAGTTATTGTTACATGCGTAAACTATATTTCGTAAACTCCCCGTCCTTGTCGAGGAAATTCACTTCTTTGTCAGATAAAGTCATGACAAACTCGATTCCGCCATAAGTCTTTCGAGGCATGACGAAACAGGTGCGGAAACCACTGTTGCAATCTCCCATGAGTGGCCGAAAAGCCTCCGGTCGACCACCAGCACCGAATGTCTGGGCTCCAAAGCAGGTCTCATTGAACGGAAGCGTTGTTGGAGCCAGGATGCCCACTGAGGGTGATTTCATGCGAGATGCTCGCAGTTGCGGTAGTTTTTTGTAGTCTGGGACCGAATCGAGTAGTCGGTACGCACCCAGCAGGCTGGCGTGACCTGCGAAAGTTGCCGCATGGGTCCGTATCGTTTTCGCGAGCTGGGGTATGCTCGTATCCTTGGCCACAATATGGCTCAGGGAAAGTGCAAGTCTATTTTCAAAGTTGACATTGCCCAGATAACTGGTTGGTAGCAGATCCTGGAGCTGTGGCCGCGCATCGAAGGGGATGCTGACCTCGGAAATTGCTGTGCGAAGGTCGCCGATGTTGTGCTGCGCGTCCTGAGTTGCCATCCAAGCCCTGACAACACTTCTCCAGATCAAAGCACAGATAAGGTCGTTTCCAGAAACGTCCGTAGGACCAAGTTCAGCAATGCAGTCTTTGCGCAGGGCTGTATATGACCCTTGCGGCAGGTAAAACAACATGGGCTTCATCGTGTTGGGCACACCAGGAAGAGCGTCGGGAGCGGTGGAAGTCATCTCAAGAAAGGCGTCTTCGGAGTCAAGGCCCACGAGACGATAGATCCCTGCTGCCATGTGACTTGAAATCTCGTGTCGCTTGTCCCCTTTGCATGTCGCTCTCAATGCTGTCCGTTCAAACCCCGAGCCCAAGCCGCCGTAGGGTTGAACACCGTTGCCCGTCTCCGCGTTTGTCGTCCAAGAGTTGCAGTGGTGAGCCCAAACCTGAGTCACAGAGAGCATAGCGGTGCCGTCCGAGGCCGGGCTCGCGACAGAGAGAACCAGAGCACAGCCCCCAGGCAAAAAATTGGCCTGGGCCGTCAAAACATCAGCCCCTTTCTCGAAATTTGGCTGAAACGGGGTCGTCCATAACAATTTTTCCTCTTCGAATGTATCCAACGGGAAACCCTGATCGCTGAGGTCAGAGAATTTCAGATCGGTTTCTAACTCATTGAATCGCAGTTGGTGTGGTGGTTCTTTGGAAGAAAGAGATTCGAAACGAATTTCCAACTGGCCGGGACGCCACCCCGCGGTATCATCGCTCCGCCAGTGTACGCGACCATTGAGCCAAGGTATTTGAGCAAAGGTGCGACGCAGGCCTTCTTGGAGACGTCCAAAGGCATCCTGCACCGTGACATCCTGCTTCAAACTCAAGTAGATCACGCTCTGTGGAATATTCCACGCAGCTATGTGGTCGAGGGGGTCAAGCGCAATCTTCGAAGTCGGGGCCATGGTCAATCACAACACGATTCTGAGGATAATGAAAACACCTTGTTCATGATTTCCTGTTTTACATCTTGTCAAATTGGTAGTCTTAAACCCGGAGCATAGTCAGTAGCTGAGAGCCATATTGGTAAGCAATACTCAAGTCACTTGAACGTCGGATATTACTAGATTCGGTCATTCCAGATTATGAGTAATGCATAGGCATTGTTACTAGTGGTTTTGAGATAGATGAGCTAAACAAAAAAATATCTTCCCGAATATCTCAGCCAGACCTATTTTTGGTCGAATCTGCCGGGATTGCTGGCCAAGTGTTAGCCTGCTAGATAACCAGACCTCAATTTTACCCTGCTTTATCTTGTGTAATCCTCACGCGGATTCCCTGCCCTTCAGGGCTCGGGAGCCCAATGATACAATCACGCTTTACATCGACGTCCCGCTCCCTGATTGTTTCATGCAAACGCATGTCAAAACGAGTCAGGAGGCGGGCTATAGTGAGATAAAGTTCGGCATATACAAGACTGTTAGGTGGTCAGACGGCAGAGGAAAAAGACCGATAGCTGATGAAAACTGACTTGATACCAAGGCATATCCGAGAGCCTTTGCCAAAGCCCATGAAATAATTTTGTTTCAACTCAGGATTGTCAAGCCAGCGATGCGGATTGAACGTGTAGGGATCCGGGAAGATGTCGGGATTCATATGATGCAGATAATGAGATTGCATCACACGTGCCTACACCCAAGAATTAGTGAGAAGTCGATTTAGCCTTGCGAAATGCACTCACCCCCGCGGGTATAATCCATTTGCTGTAGCGTAGTGTCTCCTCTGGTGCATATCGAGGCATTCGGCTTGAAACCACATGAGAGAGCCTGATTCCCTCCGTAATTACTGCGGGCTGTTTGAGCCAACATGATTAGCTTTTATCTTACGTTGATGGAGGTTGACTTGTTCTCAATGACTCACAAAGAACCTCAAGGCTTCGAGAGCAGCCACGGACACCCGTGAATCAGGATGGGGCATGAGGGGCCTCAGTTCTTCCCTCAGTTGCAATAAGGTCTGAGGATTGTCCAAGATATGAAAGAGGACAAGTGACAGAGCCCTGGCAGTAGTCTCAGTGCCTGCAATAACCAAGAGATTGGCCTCTGCCGCTAAACGGGCGGGTGCTTTCTCGCTGGGCGGAAGATTGCTCCGTAGAATATCCTGGAAGATAGACTTGTTCTTTTGAGACTCCTTCTCTGCCTCAAGTAAACCCTCACTTTTGGTTCTCTTCCCTTCTTCCTGTTGACGAACAGATTCCTCAATCATACCGCGAAAGAAAAGTCTATTCCTTGGAATGAGGGCAGCGGCAGGGCTGATTCGATGCATGAGGCTCGACGGAATCAGCGTAAGACATGCCTTGGCAAGCCAAGGGAACTGACGACCGACAGGGCCAAATTGACTCAGTTTGCTGTATGCCTCGAGATACTCCGCGCCGAAGTCCTGGCGCGTCAAATTGTCCGTCTCCGCGCCGAAAGCGTAGGCCGAGATGACGTCCATTGTCAGCGCACCGCAAGCGAAGGTTAGAGAAACAATATCACCTGTGCGATAAGCCTCTGCAAAGCGACCACACAGAATTTCAATCTTGTCGATTATCATCTCCTCGTGCTCTTGGACGGAACGCTTGCTGAAGAAACGATTGAGTGCGGCCCTTCGCATCCGGTGGACATCGTGATCGACAGTCTGAAAAACCGACCATCCCAGAGGGCCATTTGACTCTGAGCGGTAGTACCAGGGATCCCGATTGCGCTTACGCTTGCCTCCGGCATATATTTCATCGAGGTAGTTGGGGTCGTTGATATGTAAGTGAATTGGGTTGATGCGAACAATTGGCCCGTATTTCTTGTGCATTTCCTCAATCTTCCACAGGTAGCGCAATTTGTGTGGGAAAAGGTCATAATAAAACTCGTACCAAAATGTCGCTGCTGCAAGCTTAGGGCCTGGGAACTGGGCCAATGGGTGAATTGTTAAGCGATAAATACAGAGAAGAATCCCGTAAACGAGGTACAGAGATATTCCACCGAGTAGGACATCCTTGAATGTGTAGTGGATTAGAAAGCCGGAGAGCTCTGAGGACATCATTTTGGCAAATGGTTCGTCGTAGATAGAACGCTGGGGTTGCTGTAGTTGTTTTATTTCAAATCTTAAAGGGCGGTATACGCCGGATATAACCAAGAATGGAAGGTCCCGGCAGCCATCATGACAGAAAGAAAAGGCTGCCTTTGCGACGCGCTCATGGCCTTTTGTTTCAATGCCCTCACAGAAACTAGACTACGAGACGGCATGGACTTATGATACGGACTGATAACGAACAAGGGCCAATAACATTAGTACTATCTAGTGATAGAGAAGAAATAATCAAAGGTAAAGATCACAGGATGACCATAGGCACCGAAAAAAAGAAAAGAAAAGAAAGAGCATCAATTTGATAGTCACTATCCGACCGGATGTTTTCTCAGACCCGCCAAATATTCGGGATCCCCAGGTAGAAGATTCACATTTCACCCAAATTCTGCAAGCTGACAAGCTCAAAGTATGCTGACCGCTTCTGCATCAGCTCAGCATGAGTTCCACTCTCAATGATGCGGCCTTGGTTGAAGACATAGATCATGTGTGCCTTTTGCACCGTACTGAGACGATGCGCCACGGCGATCGTCGTGCGGCCTTGAGCTGCGTTATCCAGAGCAGCTTGCACGAGCTTTTCAGACTCCGAATCCAGAGCGGAAGTGGCCTCATCCAGCAAAAGGATTCTGGGGTTGCGGAGCAATGCTCTAGCTATTGCAAGACGTTGCTTCTGGCCACCTGACAGCATGCTGCCCTTACTACCAACGAGGGTATCGAAACCGTTTGGCAGACTGATGATGAAATCGTAGATGTTTGCGTTCTTGCAGCATAGCACCATTTCGTCTTCCGAAACGTCATTTCGGTCCGTACCCAGCATAATATTCTCACGGATGGTACCTTGATAGAGCGTTGGCTCTTGGCTCACAAGCGCGAGATGGGAGCGGTAATTGTTGATGTTGAATGACGAGATTTCCTTGCCGTCAACATAGACACCGCCGAGGACTGGATCGTAGAATCTCTCCAGGAGGGCAATTGCGGTGGACTTGCCACATCCACTAGCTCCGACGAACGCAACGTACTGCCCGGGCTTGACGTGCAGATTGAGACCTCGCAGAACGAGCTGATTTGGTCGCGTTGGGTACCTGAAGTACACGTTTCTGAACTCGACATGGCCTTCTATACTCTGGACCATCTCGCCATCATGGCTCCAGGTATCGATATCCGGCGTCCGGTCGAAGAGAGCCTTGAGACTGGCAGCAGCGTGCCCGGCTTTGGCAATATCCGGTGCAAAGCTGAAGATGGTCCCTGCAGACTGCGCCCCGAAGATGACTGCGCTGAAGCACAGGAAGAATTGGAACCTGAACATAACGGTTAGAACTAATATGACGTCTGTTCCGGGAATTGTCATCTACCCACATGGAATATTCGTGTCTGCCGAACAAGGTACCTCCATACCAAAAGCCGAGAGCCATGCAAAGGAATTGAAATGACTGAGATGCCGCGTAAAGAACGGATGACTTGAGAACCGACCACACTAACTTACGGCCTTGCGAGAGGAGCTGTTCGTGGTAGTGATTGCAAACGTCCGCCTCGCGGGTCAAGGAAGCCACGGTTCGGATGGCTGCTATGGCCTCGCAGGCATAGCTTGCAGAATTTTCGTAGGCTTTCTTCTTCTCCTTCTCGAGTCGGACCAGCATGGCCAAACGGAAGTACCCACAAGCGAGAAGGAGGGGGATGGTGGACATGCACACCAGACTAAGCTTCCACCCTACGGCCAGACCAATGGCGCAGGCGGCAACTAGGGTGGTGACCAGCAAGAGAATCGTCATAAGAGTAATCCCAGACAGCCCAGCCAGGTGGGAGGTCTCAGTGGACAGGAAAGAAGTGAGAGCACCCGAGGAACGTTTGTCGAAAAAGGCGATGTCTTGCCGGAGGATATATCGAAATGCTCGGTCGCGAACCCGGTGGGTAAGTCGCTCTGCGCAGTAAGAGAACGCAATACCCTGAGATATGAGAGCGAGCAGCTGTACAAAGGCGAGCATCAAATACATCAGCGACCAGAAATTGGCTTGTCGCCGTATCTCAGAGCTCTCTGAAATAGGAAGTGAAAGGGCTGTAATGCACTTGGCGAAGAAGACAGACTGTGTTGGATTACCTCCACCACAAACGGCCGAGAGCAAAAGTCCAAAGACCATATATTTCCATTCTTTTTTGTTCAAACCAGCGACAAACCGTATCAGCGTGAACAAGGTATAGTTGTCGGCAATGTCCTCTTGTCCCTTCTTCGCACTGTCTGAGCGTGTCTTGTCCACCTGAATGTCCTCAGGGTCTTCTCCTTGAACCTCTTTGTCCGAGATGTAGCGATTCTCCTTGAATTCGGGTCGCCGTAAATCGTTATCAGTTTCAGGCAGTATGGGATCTTCATCTTGGTTTCTAGACTCTTGCTTTGTCGCGATTCGCTGAGCCTCGGCCAAGTTGTAGTAAGCCCCTTTCCTCTGGAGAAGGTCATCGTGGGTGCCCTGTTCAACAATACGTCCGTGGGACATAACCACAATATTGTCCGCATTCTTGATAGTAGACAGTCGGTGAGCAATGATCACGGTAGTTCGTCCCTGGGCAGCTTTGTCGAGTGCGGCTTGCACAACTCCCTCGCTTTTCGTGTCGAGTGCAGATGTTGCTTCGTCAAGTAGCAGGATCTTAGGATTGCTAACCATGGCCCTAGCAATGGCAATGCGTTGTTTCTGACCTCCTGAGAGAAGGAACCCTCGTTCGCCAATGTCGGTTTCGTAGCCCTCAGGAAGGGAGGTGATGAAGTCGTGGGCCTGAAACGCAACGAAGTCAGAATATCGTATCGTATATGGTACGAGCAGAGAGGCGGTGTCTGAGGCAGGGCATCATAGCATTTGCC